GTGAGCGTTTGTTGGACTGATATTCTGTAAATAAAGAAAAGTTACTTGTACATGGTAAGGCAGATGTTGTCAGTGCGATGAAAAGTATTTCCACATTTTAAGTGTATAACAAGGATACACAATGTAACTTGCCATTGGGACAGAAGCTCGGAAGGTTTGACAAGACAAGAACTGGAGGTGTTTATGATTAACGGAAAGAAAACTCAGGTTTTCAGTAGGAGTCCCATGGTTCTCTTTCCTTTGCATTTCCTCAGTGTCTAGTGTTACAGACAACACAAAAATTGACAGGATTTTTCATAAGAACTAAACAGTGTGTACGGTAGATACATCTGTGCTTGTGTTGAACAGAATATGTGTTACGGGGTTGTGTCATGTCTCAAGGTGCGTGTGAAGTTCATTCAGCCTGTAATGTCATTAAGCTGGGATCGTGGCAATCTTACCTGAGCTTGTATAGTTAATTCACTCTGTTCACTGGGAAGGAAAGAGTTAGTATTAATTATTTTCTGCGGCTCTTCTCTTTCCACTACGTACCTACATCTTCCTTGTTACACAGACAGGATGTGTTTTGTTAAATGTTAGGAAAAATATTGCACAATTGTTACTTTTTGGACACTATCCATCATAAGTTTTAAATCTGTCATTCAAGCACTAAGTTAAGCCTACAGTTTTCTTTAACTGTTCTCAATGTTGCAGTAATGGTCAGTCAAAGCTGACAGGTCCAGTAAATGGAGACGAATGTCACTTTTGGCGGACAACAGGATGTGCTTTTGGCAATAAATGTCGTTATAAACATCTGAAGGAAAACAAAGGCATTGACAAGAAACCATGGCAGAAAGTTGTTTAGCCATTCCAGTGAGACTTTTAGGCAAGACAAAAGATTGATACGTCGTAAGAATATCATGAGAGAGACAGTCTGATGAAGGGAAGATCAACCAGGTTTGTTGCCATAGTGATTGGATCATAAAGCCAGTAAAGCTACTGGGTTCCCTCAGTTCAAAGGAGGTGCGGCAAATGTGTGGTGTCACTCAGAAGCAGTGACTTCATCACAGTAAGAAGCTACTGACAAGGTTCATCCTCATACTGGCTGTGTATGTAATGTGGCAGTCAAGCTGGAAGGTAAATCAGTAATGTATTGGCTACGTTATCACACCTCTTATCTGTAACAGAAAACTTTTGGGATGGTTTTATATCTTCATTTTAACTCATTTATGCATGATGCATATATTTGCTGATAGATTATATCTATATTTAATTATGTGCCCATCTCAGATACATGTAAAAGAGTCGCTCAAAAAGCTACGGAACAAAACATTTGTGAATAATTACTATGCTACTGAGGTAATGTATTACTTAGCTTGAATATCATTAATTTGATGTTCTGAATGAGGTAACGGTGGAGCTTTATTACAATTTTTTCTTCCACATTTGTTTTTGTCCGGCATTTGCCTTTGTGTTAGTAATTCCGTGAGAATACTTCCCAGTTATCCAATCTTAACCTACTCTGCTGTTTCAGACCTGATGTGTCCAGTACAATAACACATATGATTTTTTTTTTGTTTGGGTAAGTTTGTTCCTTGTTTAATAAAACACTGCGCATGAGGTTTAGGGGTGTGGAAGTATAGCTCCATGCATTCATAACATTGACATTAGACGGAGGTGAGTGGTCAGCTTCACATCTTTGTCACTTTGCCCCAAGGGACAGAGCCTCCGGCTCTCCGCAAATCCAATCTGGAAGCAGTAGCTAAGAGTATCTTGCCAGGAATTAGACTTCACTCATCATTGGGTTGTTTTTGAAAAATAAATTACCATTCTCAACTTAGATTCAGCTCTGCTGTTGACATAAATTTTTGGCTCATCAGTAAACCATGCTTTTCTAATACAATTTTATCATAAAAAGTTCTTTCAGGGGGTTGTCTGATCTCATAACTAGTTGTGCATTTCTTAGAGTAAAATTTCCATTCATTGTTTCGTTGGGGATCTGTGGATTCTGGCATCAAGCTGAGGAAAACCTTTATTGGAGGGAATGCAATGCAGATGGGGGAGTTGTGAAATAAGTGAGGGGAACTGAATGGACAAATGTTAAAACAAGGTTCTGTTGTTGCATGTGCTAAATTATAATTGTCTGTAACTCTTTGATGATGCAGAGCATTTGAAAGGAACCTTACTGCTATTTAAATATGTATACTCCATAAGGCTACTACTTCTGTACATCTGTTATAGAATACAGAATTTAATAGTCCAACATGGCTTTTCAGGCAGCAGAATTTTATATCTTTTAATGATATTGTGGAGAGCCTTGAGGAGACAGCATGAAACATTTTGCTCCAAGCAATGAAGTGAATATCATTTAGATGCATAAAATCTAGGGTTATGTTAAGAGCAGATCATCATCTTTGTTTTGTTTGCAATCATATGTCGTCAGTCATAATCAGTATTTATGTACCAATAAAGCAAACAGATAATCCTTGAAACTGGCACTCAACTGTACTAAAGCAAGAGCAGAATGTTTTCTCTGTGAAGCCACATCATTACGCTCTGAATAGCAGCAGTGGCACGAGAGCAAGATTAGGTTAGTCAGTACCTGTTCCTCATGTTAGTGGCGTATGGTGGGCAAGAGAATCAGTGTGATTTACTTTAGGTTGGCATGGAAGGGTTAAAGACATTCTTACCATTGCGGTTTTCATCAAACAATTAAAACCATCTGATGCAGTTACATTTATTCACTTAAATTAATCATGTAACTGTGTTTTGGCAGAATTCTGCAGTTTTCAGGAGTGTCTGATTTTTTGAAAGCCATTAAAAGTTTTGCATCTGTGATATATACAGCATATAATACAATACAGTTTTTTTTTTTTTTTTTTGCTTTTCATATTTCTTCTTTTGATACATATGCCGGCAATAATTGAAAGAAGAAATATGTAAGAGAATTAAATTATATCATGTTCATGTGTCACATTCGAAGTTATATTGAAGTCTTCCCAACTTGTGCACTGCAACATTTTCAGTTTGTGTGCGTGTGTGGGCATGTCTATCCATTTTGAACAGCAGTTTACAGAGTACAGTAATAGCATTAAGATATTGATTAGCCCATTTTTCATATAAATTATGATGATTTATTATGGTGTAAGCTAGGGGGCCATGTCACTGATAGCCACCATGTTTTATGGTGTTTGTCAGAAAGCAGTAACATCAAGTAGGGGACTGCTTGTTGAAGTTATGCAAAGTACTGTCATGGAACCTGGGAGGGCTCTAAAGGAACCCTCAAAACAATGGCTCATGGGGCTTGGGTGAAGCTCTCAAAATGTCAAAAATCCTTGGGAAGAAGGATGGATAAATTATTGCATTGATTAAGACCCATGCAACTGCACATTTCAGATGCCGGAATAATGGCGCCGACTTTTGCTAATTTGATGTAGTATGAATTGTGCCATGTTGGTATCTCGTATTGACAAGTGAGTGTCGGTTATTTGGTACCTACTGTTGTTTTGTTGAAGTAATGTGGATTACTGCAGTACATGCACAGTCAGTGTCTGGAGGATCAGTTGTCAGAAGCAAAATTAGTAAGAAAATGTTTCAGAGTCACTCCTATCTGTGGGACGGATTTCTGGTGGAGGTTACAGAACTTCATTTCATGTGAGATGAGGTGTGGGAATGTTTTTGGAGAAAGATTATTTGTGTATTATATATCATAGAAAGTGGCAAGAGAATGGTTTGCGAAACATTACTATATCGTTAATGTATCTTTCCTTGTCAATACATAGGGGTAAGTCACTGGTCTCGGGTTCAAGATTAGTTAAATCAGATATGAATTTTTCTTGATGTCTTCCCCCTTCTTTGGCCTAAGACAAAGTTAGAACAGGTCCATATTCACCCTTTGAAGCCACAGGTCATCTAAATAAATTAAGTAATTAAAGATTCTGTTCTTACCTCAAAAAAAAAAAACATCATGGATAATTAATCATAGTAATTTTTGATATATTTGGTCGCTTGCCTATTTTCAATTATGTCTCAATAAATATCACCCTTGTTAGATTATTTTTATTTACTTTGTGAAGTCTGTAATTATTTCCAGTGTAAAGGAAATTTCATTTTCAAGTGGAATCTCCGGTAGTCGAAAGGGTATGAAACAGGACTTGTAATACATTTGCGTAGAACACTTTGAACCTGGAGGTACCACTTTGTGTTCTTGAACCAAACTATCAAACATTTTGTTTCACTGGGAACAGTATGATTAAGCACTTACTGGACATGCACATGGAATTTAATTTGCAGTGCTTAATCTCTTGTTTAAAGCAGTTGATTTTTTTCTCCAGTGTTGACAGTACAGACTGGTTGATGCATGTGGCAAAAGTACAACGAATGCATTGAGTAAGTTGTGTTTGTATTCTGTAGTGCTAATTATTGTGTTAAAATTTTTCTATTTACAGCAAAAGGATAATTACTAGTAAAATATGATATGACTACTTAAAAATAAGTGTGAACATTTTAATGTACTGTTACAGGTATGAATGGACAGTATGAACAAATTATCAGTATATGATTTTATTACATATGTAATGAATTTGGGTAAAGTCCCACCCGAATGCAGCGTGATTGCTTGACTTTATAGGTTGTGTTTGATCATTTAATGATAATTTGTGTATTTAATTTAAATGTACCCTATTTTTTTAAACTATGATATGCGCCCAAGATTTGAGGAATGATAATGCCCATGAAGATTTTCTGTTCTACAATATTAAAATTGAAACTTAATGTTAGAGATAATTAGTACTTGTTCACTGACTGGACTTGGCTCCAGAAGTCTAGTTTTTGTGGTTTTGAATTTGAATTTATCTCAGGGTATGGATGAAAGTAAAATATCCTTGCACACTAACATCAGGGCATATATAGGCAGTGTTGATTGATTGGACATAAATGGTACAAGTCTTAACCTGTGAAATTGGTAAGTCTGGGTTTATTTCTTGTCAAGAACATCGGAAATTCTTATTTAATTATTCATCATCCACCCATTCAGTATCTGTGCCTCTTTAATTTGGGCTACAGCAGCTAGAGCATGGAGCTGACCACACACCACCTAATGCCACTTTTGTGAATGTGTGGAGCTTTACCACTGTTCTCCATACACATTTCAAAAGTCTCATTCTCGGTACTCAGCAGACACTTTTTGTCTTGAATGGTTTATTGTGAAAAGAAAGCAGGAGATCTTTCTTTTATGTCACAATAAATTGTACTCTTTATTGTTCAGAGATATTCTATACTCCATTGACAAGTAATTTTGAATTCTGTGTTTGACGAAATTAAGTGTACCTATTAGTTTGAAAATGTGAGTTACTAAAATATACATCAGTAAATTGTTTTGTGATGTACTGAAAGCATAAAAATGTGAAGATGGAGACATACATGGAAAATACTTATAGATGCAATGCAAATAAACAATTTTTAATTTGTATATTTTTATGCAAGTTAAAATTGCATTAATGTACCAAGTTGAAACATTCTTTTTGTTTTCTGCAGAATGCTTGATTTTTCTGTGCTGTAAATTAACTCAGTTTTAAAAATATCCAGAGAAGTGTGTATTTAAATCTGTATTCTAAAACGTGTATTGTGGTAGCAACATGTTTTCAGGGCGCAGGGTGTGTTAAGTGTTTCAAAGTGCCTTATGACAATAATTAACCCATTTATGCCTGTAAATTTTTTTTGAGCAATGCTACATTCCCATTGTATCATCACTGAACACTGATGAAACGAATATTTCTGAAATTACTTTTCTCATTATATGTTATGGTGTATTTTTAGGTGGGTTTTTAATGACCCAGTGTGCAAATACAACTACAAAATGCAAGTCAACTTTAATGGCTGTCTTTAATATTCAAAAGCATAAATATACTGATACATATAATTGTACCTGCTTTGGTATTTTTCTAAATCAGTATCTTTGCTCAGAAGTTTAGACATGGGATTGAATAAGGCGTTTGACATGTAATGGTGCTGTGTGTGCATAATGGGAGCAACCAGCAGGTGGCCGATGCAGGGAGAGATCACTCATACTTACGCAAAATTGCGGTTAAAACTTTCCTCGTATATGACATTGATTGAAGACAATCATCTTCAGATTTTTAAAATTAACTCTGAAAATTGTGGGGGCTGGGTTCTTCAGGACTAAGCTGGTTGTTAGTTTTCGTTGTTTCCGAATGAGCTTTAGGGATGGCTGAAAATGCGATTCAGTATGAACTAGTGCGGGTAAGTTAATAGTTTACTGCAGTGACTAGGTGACAGAATAATGCGTGCCATGACGGGTTACCTATGCTTGATTCGCCGTCCTGATGGAGGAAACAGCACCTCTGAAATGTAGGTAAATTTCTACCAAATTACACTGAGCAACGCCTCCATAAAACAGTCATTTTCAGGTGTTGGTATTAATCAACATCGAGATGCATTAGTGGTGTCAACTATTACAGAATATGGTACCATGGTGATAAGGTGGGTGTTACGAGCCGTTCGTAGAACGCTGTATAAAAATTGTCGGATAGCTTTATAAATTAGTAATACCATGCGATACGTTTTAAATTGTTGAATACTGGCACGTCCAATTACAGTTATATCTTTCGCTAGAATGGAGGAATTTTTGCAATACGTTTCTCAGAGTGTGGTAAGTATGATTTCGAAAAATTGGTTTAAATAGTGAAGTGTTTCTTGTCTTAGGTTTTACATATTTGTACTGGGGTTTTGCGTTATTTTATGATCTAAGACGCTGTTTATTGATTTAAATAAATAGTAAACATGCATTTTGTGTAAGAAAACATTTTATGAGGAGGATGATTCAATTTTCAGACGTGAAAGTGAGAATAAGAGGCAGAATAAAATTATTAAGAAATGGCAGTCATGTGGTTTTGAAATGAAGCGTAGATCGTTATTACTTGCGGAGTATGCAGTTGCTGAAACACGCAGTGTTCGTTATATGATAATGCTCCACAACACAGTGAACACTTCTTCATTTCCAAGTAATTGCATACAATCATAAGAAACTACAGTGCACGTCTTATGGACTGGACGGTGAGGGTTTGATCCCGGACAGGGGTAGAGGATTTTCTCATATCCTCTGTTACCTGACCGGCTTTGGGGTCTGTCTAGCCTCCTGTCCAATGGGTACCGAGGGTCTTTTCCCCAGGGTAAAGTGTGGCCTAGAAGTAATGCTGACCACTCACCCCCCATCTAGTGCTAAGGTTTTGAGAATGAGTAGGGGCTACACCCTCTCTCCCCCTGAGCCCTTCATGGTGTTTATTATTTTACTATTTGCAATATTTTAATTTCTAAGTTGTCCATTGAGTTCGGTGTTCATCCCGTGTTTCCTTGCCACCAGAAGATGGTCATTCAAATAGCTAAAACATGTTTGTTTCTTAATACATAATACAGAATTAATACTTTATTGTGTAGGAACTTTACTATAGTACACACAACAGAATGCTTAATTTGAAGACTGTAACTTAACCTAAAAATACCAACTGCTCTTTGTGTACTGATTCAACATCAATTTTTACACTGTATAGTCTATAGCTTTCCTGGCTGCTAAATTGAATGAAGTCTTCTCTGGCAATTTGGCATTGTGTGGTTACAAAAAAAGTGTTATTTTAGGAACTGTCTCAGCTCTCATCATCAGGGATGTGATGTGTGTGGAGTCCATGAGGTCCCATATTTGTATATTCCCTGCCTGTACCCTGGACCATCATAAACTGGTTCAGGCAGAGGGTGTATCTGGGACTTATTGGACTCTGCAGACATCACATCCCTGATGATGAGAGCTGTGACACTTTTTGAAATGTCAGTTTTTTGTGACCACGTGTGGTTTGAGGAATAATTCATAATTTTACCTATCTTCTTGCTCTCTTTGTGTCTTCATGCGAGAATAGAATTTGAAGTAATGTCCGTAATTTCTGCTGGTGCTGTGTGATAATTATATAGGCTGCACTTCAGAGATTCACTACAGTGAGAATTGTGATGGGTAATGAGTCATGTGACCTGGATTCTGCCATCTCAGCATTGGTGTATGCATATGTTCTTTACAATGAAGTTAACGCAGAGGCAAAAGACACATGCATTATTCCGCTGCTAAACATCTGCAAGAAAGAGCTTGCTCTGAGGACTGAAGTGACGTACTATTTGAGGAAGAACAGTGTTCCATTGGACCTTCTCATATTCCAGTTAAGTATCGGTGATCATTTGTGTTTTTATATTGAGAATTTTGTTCATATCCAGAACACTGGAAATACATGTTAAATTCATTATAAGAAAAACAAATTATCTGAGCTTATGGCCTTGTATTGTGCTTCTTACAAATATTTCTTTGTAGGACATATGTAAAATGTAATATGTAAATTTATTTAAAATATTTTTTATGCTTCAGGGACACTGTAGACCTGAAACAGTTACAAATGGCTGGTAAGCTTCAGGTTGCTCTGGTGGACCACCATGTTCTCTCACCAGAGACTGAATTTCTTCGCATGTCAGTTACGGAAATTATTGATCATCACCCGCAGGATCCAGCATGGCTGTGGCCAGAGCAGAAAGTAATACTGGTAAAGGTTGGATCCTGTTCTACTCTCGTGGCTAATGAAGTGGTACAACGCTGTCCACAGTTGCTGAGTTGTCAGATTGCCATGTTATTGTATGGTGAGTACACAGCATCATGTTACAAGATTCAGGGCCCTCATTTCTATAGAAACAAGTTTTTTCCTTGGGGGATTGGGAAATGTTTTCAAGTTTTTTTATCTAAAAATATTTAGAACCGCATATTATTTGTACTGTTTTTCCTTGGGGGATTGGGAATTGTTTTCAAGTTTTTTTATTTAAAAATATTTAGAACCGCATATTATTTTTTGAAAATGAACACTACTATTGAGCACAACATTTGGATGAATTCCACAATACCCTTATTTAATTAAAATGGTGCCACCATACCATGTTGAAAACACCGGTTCTCATCTGATCATGATGTCATGTATGACAAATCTAAAAGAATGGGAATCTGTTAGTGGACATTTTGCACATACATTGATCACTCCATGGTGTAATTATCCATTCATAGTTCTTGGTAACTTCGTTGTGTAGGCAAAGCAGGCATAATGAGTTCTTTCCAGACCATGTTATTTTGTGAGAGGTTTGAATGTTTTGCTTTGGTGTGCCATCACTGTAAAAAGTATGAGGCCACAGTCTGAGAGAACTGTACATTCAACTTCCTTATGTTATTAAATGTGCTTCTTTTACAGTACTAATATCTCCAATAGATCTATTGACATTTGTGTGTCTGAAGGTTGGTAAACATTGGATCACACAGGGCCCATCATTCTGGACACAGCTTGCTTCTCACGTGCTGCAGATCGAACCACAGCGCTGGATCTTAAAATGGCATCAGAACTTGAGATCAGGGGAGTTGATTCAACAAAACGAGAGAGATTGTTTGAGGAACTGCTGGCTGCTCGTTCTGATGTTAGTAGTCTTACGCCAAGTCAGCTGTTGGTCAAAGACATGAAATTTGCATCGAGTATTCCAGTACCTGGTCTGCCTATGCTTGTTCAGGTATTTTCCACCTACTCCTTATGATTTTAAGTTTTCACAAAATCTTGCCAGCTAATCAGTTGTGTCAGTACAGAATGATTGTAACGTTTCAGAGACTGTGTTTGTCTGTATCATCATATACTGATGTAAGCCAAGACATTCAGCTCATAGTCCAGAGTCTTCCTTCTAAATCCCCCCCCCCCCTCCCTTTCAAAGCTACTTTCAGTGTTTGTCTTGCAAGTCTCATTATGGCTAATTAAATCCATGGAGAATAGTTCTTCATTCTTTGGATTTTATTGTAATAATTACTATAATAAGATCAAGTCTGTTTTGTACAGAATTATTTAATGTGGGATTATCACTGAGCTCTTGATGGGTAGATCAGGTGATTCCTTGAAGCTTAATCACTATAACAAACCCCTGTTGTTGTGCCTTATCCTGAGGCAGTTGAGGGCACTAAATTTTTGTGAAACGTAGATCAAGTGATTCCTTGCAACTTAATCACTGTAACAAACCCCTGTTTTTGTGCCTTAACCTGAGCCAGTTGAGGGCACTAAATTTTTGTGAAACTAAAGATCCACAAATCTAATTTCCCTCATAGACATTATGTACTTATATTCCCCATCTCAACTATTCTCATTTACCCAAACAGTACATAATACACAGTACGCGTTATACAGGTCCCCTGATTGGTGTAAAATTATCTAAATATGAAACATCCTGTAAGCTGCTCTGCGTTTCAGGAATTTGTGACCCGCCCTGATGTGTCAGAAGCGCTGAAGGAGTTTTGTGCAGGAAAAGAAACAGATATTGCAGTTGTGATGGGTCTCCGTATTGATGGCGACCTGATACAGCGAGATATAGCAGTGTTCCACTCTACGAAACCCGAAGTTGCTCTTGAGGTATGTTTCTCGCTTCTAGTATATCGACCGGGTAACAAAATAGAAAACCGTGAACCTGTACACATTTTCGTCATTGAAGGTTATAAATACATGTCATGACTCTGCACGGTGTGATTAGAGGTTGCATTGGAGCAGTGTGGACCAAAATTAAATTCTCCCTTACAGGTTTCATTATGGTTGCCCCAAATAAAATATAATTGAAGTTTGTTGAGATGAAACAAACTCACTGATGCACTTTGTACAGAAGATGCGTGACGACTTGTCGATTTTGTTTTGCAGCTTGTCACATGTCTCAGGACCAGTACTGATCCAGCCTTGCAGCTTGAGCCTGTTGAAGTTGCAACGCAACATCAAGTTCCTGGTCTTCAGTTATTTAGACAGTTGAACGTCAAAGCGTCTCGTAAACAAGTGCTGCCAATTGTCAGATGTGCAGCAGAATTTGCGTTGAAGCACTGTCGACATTAATGATGTAAGTCACTCATTGTTATTCTAATACATTGTTACAAATTGGAAGGTTGAAAACCTCGGAGTAGCTCAGTTTAGATAATACAACAACTCTTGCGCAATTAACATCCAGTGTGGTATTGCATTAAGTATTGTTTTATAAAGTGAAACCTTTTATGATTTATAACAAACCGTCATCTTACGAATTTTATTCTTTAATATGAATTAATTTGTTTGCCACTGATGATGACCTCTTGAGGTCAAAACACGTTTGGCACTAAGTTTCTTTTCAAAGTGTAAACAGTTTTTGTATGTATGCATGATTTTATTTATCAGTACACTGCACGGCATGCAAGGTTTTAAGATTATGTGAAAATTATGGAAATTTAAAATAAGAATTATATTGGAAATATGCAAGTTGAAAACTGTCATTGAAATAATTCTCCTTGTATCCACTTCACGATCATTTTTGATGTGGCCAAAGTAATTCATTTATCAACTACAGAAGAGTGTGTATTAATAAATAGCTAATGTAAACGTTTGGCAGTGTTTATATCTTAAGAAAGAGAACTTTTTAATTAGTTGCCATGATAAGAATGCCTCTGTGCATGTGTGTGTTTGCAGTATCTATTGGAGTTTTGACACCATCATTATGACACTAATTGAATTATTGCAATATTTTTCATTGTTATCTTTGAAGTTTAAGATCAGAAGGAATATACTTGGAATTGCGGGAGTAACTTTTATGTGA